ACGTGAGAAGAACAACTGTGTCTGAATCTTAACCACTGGTCATGTGAGTCTGTAGTTTTAGTCCAGTGAGGAGAGAGTTCCACAGTTTAGCCCCATTGAAAGATACGCTGGTAGTCCAAAAGATGTTCTGAGCTCGAGAAAAGTATAAAATCTTAGTGAAAAGGTGAAAAGGTAAATAGTTTGTGCCTCTGTATGATATCAAAGTGATGCCATCCCTTGGTTTTTTGTTTTAATCTTTTGTCCATCCTGATTGTCATTGTCCTTAACACCAGGACTCCCAGAAATGTGAAACTACTAGGACTTCCAGAGCCGTCATTTTGACTGCTTTCATTCAAACCAATGGTAATCTGGAATTCCCCCAAAAAAGCGTTAGGGTTAAGTCTTTAAGTCATAAATAAACTTCACTAACTTTTAATAAGTGCTGAAACTGTTGAATATAACTGGAAATAGAAAAAAAAATGTGTTAAAGGCAACCGAAACTATCAAAACAGAAAAAGTCAAGAATTTAGGCGGATCAAAAAGGTACACACGTTAGGTAATTACGGTTCCAAAACTTAAACCCGTCATATTGACTGCTCTGGGATAGTTCTTGTGTTAATCTAATAAAAATTAAATAAAAAAATAACCCATGGCTCAGGACTCAAACTCGGCTCCCACTGGTGAAACACTTGTGAATCCATGGTAAATGACTAAAATTTTTATAAAATACCTTCACTGTTTTTGAATATTTCTCCTCTTTCCCTCAGAGCGAACGCTTTTAAGTCGACTCAAAACACAGATCTATGAGGTGGAAAAAGCCGCCATGAAAGAGATCTCGAACTAAACAACAAAAGGTTTTATGCCCCGACAAAAACAAAGCGGATAAAAGCAGGTAATATGTCAGAAGAAAACCAACGGGGAGAAGGCTCAAAGCGCACCTCCACTTTAGTCACATGGTGGAAAAGCTGCGATAAACAGTCCAAAGGGAGACCGGAGAGAGACCGGAGAGAGACCGGAGAGAGACCAGAGAGAGGCAAGAGAGAGGCAAGAGAGAGACCAGGGAGAGACCAGGGAGAGACAAGAGAGAGACCAGAGAGAGACCAGAGAGAGACCGGAGAGAGACCAGAGAGAGGCAAGAGAGAGGCAAGAGAGAGACCAGGGAGAGACCAGAGAGAGACCAGGGAGAGACCAGGGACAGACCAGAGACAGACCAGAGAGAGACCAGAGAGAGACCAAAGAGAGACAAAGAGAGACCAGAGACAACTGCGGGAGAGACCAGAGAGAGAATTTAGGGAGAGACTGGAGAGAAAGACCAGGGAGAGGGACCAGAGAGACCAAGGAGAGTGAGAGAGATTAGAGAGAGAGATAAGAGAGAGACTCCAGTGACTCTATTAAAGTGAATCTGAATCCACCGTGTAAATGAACAACACCAGCTGGAAACACCGCACCAGGAAACATCCTCTTGTTCCACTTTCTCTCAAACCATTATAATTTAACAAAAAAGTTCCACCCGCATTTGCATTCTGGGTCATGTTTTCAGCGTCGGAGAGAGGTGTTAATTAGAGCCGAGCCGTTTGTGTGGGACAAAAGTGATGCGGTGTTTTGGGAAGAACCAGATAACGGCGTTAGCGAGTTCGACGGAAAACAAGTTTGTTAAATTATCTCTACAAAGAAGAGATAATTCTCTTCTTTGTGGTGCTATGAGACTTGGGTGGCATCTCTGATTGCCACCCCCCTGACCCAGAAATGGATGAAAGGGTAGAAATTGGATGGATGGATGGATGGATCTCTACAAAGAAAACGCTCCTCAGAGTATGATGCTGGGGCAGGGAGATGGAAAGAAGCTGATTAAGAGAAAGTCAATAAATAAGTGAGTCGTTTTAGAAGATGTTGCACAGCCTTGTAAAGCTGGGGTACCTGACTTTCCAACTCAAATAAATGTAACTATGTAATCTGTCTGGTCCAGGGGTGTCGCACTCGTTTAAGTCGGGGGCGGAGCAACAAAGCACAGAGTCACAAAAGAATACATTAGTTTCCAAAAGTTTAGTTTTTCCAAAGTTTAATGTCAAGGTCCGTCCTGAACTTGCAAGAACATTTTTGAAATGGCCATACATATCTAACTCTTCAAATCAAACCCGAATAGAGTAAATGTGAGAATGTTTGAGGCTGCTGCTGCAAACATGGGATAAAGAGAAGAATGAAAACAAATGTATCCATAAAGCACAGTTCATAAGTGCTTAAAGCCAGCATTCTGCACACGCTAATCTCAAACTACACATCGCAACTTGGCTTTGCTCTGTTCAATCTGCCCACTTTTCGTTTCTACCTCCCTCTGAATAACATCACAACAACTATTTGCTTCTTCAACCTTATCACCATCATCAAATCAAGTGCGAGCATTCTTCCAATCTCAAATCTCGTCATCCGTCTTCTCCAAGCACTTTGGTCGGCTCTTTTACCGAGACTATTTTTCTGAGGCTTTCCATTGGCCCTTCTCCTGCTTCTGCCCCCGCGGGAAGACTCCCTAATATGTGCAGAAGTGATAAGCAGCAGGCTCAGGATGCACTTGTCAAGGCGAGTTTATTTGTATTGCACAATTCATCCACAAGGAAACTCAAGGTTTGTTGTGGTTTTGACAAACATTTTCCAGAAACATTTTGTACTTGCTTCTTTATTACACTAGACTGGCCTTAGCAATCTAAACTCTGGTCAATTATAATTTCCCTGCATGCAACGTCTGGGTCTAGTCCCAGTGTCTGCAATTACATCGGTTGAATCCCATCCGACCAATCAGAGAGCGCGGGAGGCCTGTGTTTTAGTTAGATGTAAACAAAAGTTTGGCATACCCAAATGTCTTTGCTTATTTAAAAACACATCTTACATCTCACATGCTTGTGTGATGCATCATTTTAAAGCTAGGCCCTTCTAGTTTATGTAAATATACACTGAAATAATGTATGTCATTCCTATTTTACTCTGCATCCTTTGAAGTTTGGGAAAAAAACAATTCAATGTATAAATGCCCTAAAAAAGCCTACTTAATTGGAAGAAGAAAATTTTCAACGCTAATTTGTTTATTGTGTTGTTGACAACAACTGTGTAAAGTTTCACACTTCTAAGTTTTATAGTTTTTATTCAGTTTCTCTTTTTTATCAAGTAGTGCCATTCGGAACCAATTTGCCAAAATGTGTGCCAAATTGTGCCAAACTGCTTTACTAACATTTCACCATCATAAAAAGCATATTTTTTAGTTTTGGTACTTATAAGTTACAAATCTGTGTGATTTTCTTAGTAGTGTAAATGCATATAAAATATGCGCAGCAGTACTAACAGCGTCAATTATAATTTCCCTGCATGCAACGTCTGGGTCTAGTCCCAGTGTCTGCAATTACATCGGTTGAATCCCATCCGACCAATCAGAGAGCGCGGGAGGCCTGTGTTTTAGTTAGATGTGAATGACGACAAGTGTTTAAGCCAAATGAGCAGGTTGGAGTTTGGCAACGGCGAAGAATGCGATAGTAAAGTAATCCGTTTTGGTTCAAACAAGAAATTGAGGAGGTTGTTTAGCAAATGTCATTGCTGGCAAAAATTGTACGGTGCTACTTCCCACGGGCGCCTTTAGTGGCAAAGGAGATGGCTCAAGCTAGGCTAAATGCTAAAACTAGGCTCAATGGCCCACTCACTCTGCCGCATTACGTACATCAAGGTAAAATCAGATCCAATCGTTTCAATCTGCAAAAGTAGTTAACCCCTCCCACCTGTAAACGGAGCTCAATGGAGCACCTCCAGACCTTGGTATGAAATAGTTTGTATGATGGTGTGGTACGACCAGGCTAGTATTATGCAAAAGTTAGAAATTTCACTTTAGCTTCTTTATTGTGCTAAACTTAAAGATTTTATACTTGCTTCTTTCAATTGCTAAAGCTAGAGACTTTATACTTTATTATGCTAATCTAAACTGATCTTGGAGCTTAGAATGGGCTGCATGTGAACTTAGATTTTTGATCTTTAGGTCAACAGAAAAAAATTATGCTTTGGGGCTTTAAAATATCTAACTTGCATTGCATTGTGGAACAGCTGTGAGTCAGACCTCATATGTGTTTGTTGCAGTGTTGTATATTGTGTCCTATATTTCTCATCTCACCAGAGGGTGCGTGGTGCGGCCCATCCAGATGTACCTCTGAAACAGCTGCTGATTACTGAGACTGAGGAGCTTTCTGATTTTGTGAGGTCTACACCAATTGGCTTCTTGCAGAGAGTCATAATCCAGGCAGTCATTCAGAGGTCAAACATGTACAAACTCAGGCCGAGAATGCAACAAGAGCTGGACCTTCAGACCAACAGAAACAAGGACTTGTTTACGTCATTTGTTGGGTGACAGAATTCTTCTTGTGGTGACATGTTTCGATTGGTTAAATTGAGTAAAACTGTGGTCCCTATTGGATGAGGAGACTGTCCTAAATTAAATTATTAGAAAGACACCAGCAGACTCTAAACAAATATATATGTATATGTGCACATTGATTGTATAGCACAGAGTCTGTTGTGCTCCTGTTAGGTTGGAATGAAATCCTGCAGCCACACCTGCCCTCTCTCAAGCCAGTTTGACACCTCTGCCTTATCTATTAAACCTAATTAATTCATTTGTGATTGGACACAGAAATCCCAAGCTAGGTAAGAGACATACAGTAGTTACGCTACTCAGAATCTCTATCTCTGCAGAAAGTGATGACAAATAAGTCAAACTTTTGGCAGAATGTCTCTTAATTGAGCAAATGATTTGCAAGATTTGCAAATGGGACAAAGCAAAATCATATATTTTTTTACAATAAATGTCCCCATTGGAATGAGAAAAGAAAGCAGTTCTTGAAATAAGACTAAATGGCTTTGTCCCATCGGTAAATGAGACAAATAAAGATGAAAAACACTCGATTCTAGCAGTTATTACCACATATTTCATCATTGTTTACAGTGTCTAGCAACTTTCAGAGTATTTGCCATCTTGTTCTTTCTGTCATTATTCAGGACTTTACGTGAATGACAAACATCCCAATAACAATCAACCAACCAATCTTGAGCAAACATAGAAGCAGCCTGGACTCACCCAGCATGATCAAGGTGGTGGTGCCCTGCTCGTTGCCGGTGGGGTATGTGGCGTACTCGCAGGTGTATCGTCCCGCGTCGGCCATCTTGAGGTCCGAGATGCGGATGGACGGGTTTTGCAGGCTGTTGTGCAGAAAGGACACGCGGTTCTTGAACTCCGGATTGGGGAAGCTCTCGCCGTAGATGGGATGGTACACCGCGATGTTGTCTCGCTGTCCGTCAATGGGCTCCCAAATCCATGACACCTGCAGGAAATCAACGAGAGGTTTAGTTTGTCTGACAACTGCTGTGATTTAAGGCTTTACATAACTACATTGAATTGAAATTGAACATTATTTCTATGTGAAAAATCCACTTTTCTATTACCTGAAGTTATCAAATATACTTTTAAGGTTGCGCTCCTATAGGCTTTTCTCACAGCTAATCCAAGGCTAAAGCTAATTCCAATGCGAAACCTTGAAAGCCTCGATTTCCATGAACCAGTTGTGTTGAAATCCCCTGAAGAGGCCTGGTGCAAATATCAAAGCGGTGAGTTTTTCATGTATGCTAAAGTGCACGGCGGCTAAAGCCATTAGCGCACCATCTTTGTCAATTAAAACGGCACAAAACAGGAGCCAAGAATCTATTATCAAATAAATCTACATTCTCTCACCTCACAGACACTCCATCAAGGTTCCTCCGTATTATACCAAAATTACCAACTCCATTCCTCACATTTCCTGCCAACTTGCTTCATAAATTAAGAAAAAAGGCATTAACAATTCTCACAGTCATTGATTTAGTGAGTGCTTGACGTCGGTGTTCAGCCCTGGTTTATATATAACTCGGCATTAAACTATCAATAAATCAATTAGTATCAACTATGAACAAGGCAGCTGCGAAAGTACTAATAAAGTTTGAAGTTTTGCACATTTTCTCAGGTTTACAACCATAAACATGACATAAATTCACAGACAAGAAACAGACAACTGTGAAGTGAAAGTACAATGATACACAATTCTGTTTCTGTTTCTCTTTTCTCAGTTTTGTACAGGTAACAATACATTTGTTTTTGTTCTGAAGCCAGTTCTGGGTTTGGGGGACTTGTACATGTTTTAGCGGTACCCGAGCACCCAGGGGAAACAAATACAGAAAAATGGAGAACATGCAAACCCCACATATAGAGTTCTTGAGGTGGAATTGAACCATGATCCTTGTGCTTCACAGTAATGACTAAGATGCTTTCATTCAGAAACTCCAGCTTGCCTTTGCAACGGTCTTACACATGTTACGGAGCAAAGCTAATGCCATCAAAACAAATGGCCATATAAGGAAATTATCTCCAGCTAGCTTGTGTTCACCTCGGCCTGTTCCACATTAAGACTAACACTAATGTGACATTCTAATATACAATCTGTGGCTCTAAACTGTTGAAAAAAACATTGATTAATTCAGAGTGCTTGCTCTTTTTCCAAATAAAAATTCCAGACTTTTCTTAAAACTGTTTTTCATTTCTTTTTTCAAGACCTTAACTTTATGTGCTTGTATACTTGTCTGCCTACTGCCTACTTCATTGGTTGGGATTGCAATCCAGTCTTTAAATTTCTGGTGTTGTAGCCATTAATTTGAAAACACGCAACGACCCATTTCTGTTGACCACTAGGCTAGCTTTGTATCAATAGACCTCAGCAGTGACATCCCAAAAATGTCCCAGACAAGGCTATGCTAGCGTTGATTGGATATCATTCCATTAGGCTAGTACAGTACGTGACCGGTTAGTCAAATTTTAGTCTTATAGCCTACCTTCCTATTTCTTATTTCACAATGCCTTTGAGCAAACTGTAAAATTCTACCATACATTTTTTTCCATACTTTAAGACTTTCACACAAAATTCAAGACTTTTCCAGGTCTGGAAAACAGTGTTTCAAAATTCAATTCTTATTAAGACTTCCAAGACTTGCGCAGCCACCCTGTTAATGTCTTTATTGACGCACGCTGATTTTAAACTCAATCTTTGACTAAAATGTCTCTGCATTTATTGGAGAGAGAAGCCCAGAGGAAGTCCATGGTATTTGAGACGTCAGCCTCAATTAGCGTGAGCTCCTCGTTAGCTGCCGTGGCTGCAACAACTGCAGGGAGAATCAGTGTTTGGGTTTGTTGCATGTGAACACACTTCCTATTGATCCTGTCCCTGATGCAGCGGGATCAGAGGACCAGAGAGATGACAAGCTGTTGGTATTTGCTGAGTCAGACTTCTGCTATTGTGAGAATTGACCCAGACGTGTTAGAAGTCTACACTGAGGAAGACTGTATTCCAAATGAGGTTTCTTATAATGCAAAACTAAGATAAGCTAGACTTTATTGAATCACTCAGATTGTGCAAAAAGACAGAAGTGCGAAACATGTTAGAGGCAAAAAATCTCTAGCTTTAGCAGAATGAAGAAGCAAGAATTAAGTACACAAATCTCTACCTTTGGCATAATAATGCCATCCATCCATCATCATAGCCATTGCACCAGCCCCTCACTGATCCTCCTGCAGGTGGTGATTCCAAAGGAGCCTGGATCTCCCAGTGGGGGCTTCAGGCAAAGTGGGGTTAAGTGTCTTGCCCAAGGACACAACAACATCAGTCATCAGTGGGAATCATGAAGTAGGTCTCATGGTGGGCTCAAACCCACGACCTTCAGGCCCAATGCCCAATGCTCTACCAACTGAGCCACTTTATAATAATGAAGCAACTGTAAAGGAAAACTATGGAAGCCCGTTTCCGCCATGTAAAAAAAAAAAAAAAGCCTACAGAAAGTCAAAATTTCGACTTTAAAAGTCAAAATTTCGACTTTAAAAGTCAAAATTTCGACTTTTAAAAGTCAAAATTTCGACTTTAAAAGTCAAAATTTCGACTTTAAAAGTCAAAATTTCGACTTTAAAAGTCAAAATTTCGACTTTTAAAAGTCAAAATTTCGACTTTAAAAGTCAAAATTTCGACTTTTAAAAGTCAAAATTTCGACTTTAAAAGTCAAAATTTTGACTTTAAAAGTCAAAATTACGAGTTTTCAACTGCGCATGTGCAGTTGTTGCCGCGTACGGAATGGTCTCTGGGCATCCTTTGCCTGCAAGTTAGCAGGTTGTGTTGCAGCTTTCAGGTCAGTACATTTCTAAGTTGTTGTAGTTCATGTGTGGGATTTAATATTTAAGATGAATAATGCATAAAAAACATCATACATCTGTGTTTACATTTGCGGAGCTATCATTTGTAAAAGTAACGCTAGCTAACAGCGCAGTACGTCTATATTCATTTCATGTACACTTTATTTTAGAATAACAACAACAAATGAACAGCTTGTCCCCAGTCTTTATGTGTGAACCGTGAGCTGTTTTACTTGCAGTTATATAGTTCATCCACTGTGTTATAATTTATGGGAAGGTGGGAACGTACGTGGGGGGGGAACGTTTGTACAGGTATCCGATTTCAAGTCGGAGGAAGTTTGTTTACCCACACTACCTTACTACATATTTACAAACAATCGTAGTGATTTATCTTATGGATTAATAGTATCTATTGTATTATTTATATATTGGGCTTTGGTTCCAGATGTAAATTGGCTATTTTTAAATATGTTTGCAAGTTTCCATTACTGGACAAACGTCTAGCCAAAATAATATATATTAATTTGGATTTTGTGCTCCAGTAGGCGTATACTTTCATTCTACCAATTTTCCACTATAAGTGTGGAAAGACCAAGAGATGGAAGAGCTCTGCGATTTTTTAAGATCAAGACATGTGTCTGAAGAGACAATACTCCAAATGGAGCAAGAGAAGGTTGGAAAAATATTCTATTATAATACAAATCAATCAAACATTACCTGAAAGAGAAATGCATATTCTTTTCTGTTTTATTCTAGATTGACCAGAGTGCAATAAAGCTCATGTCTGATGAAGAACTTCAACAGTATCTACCATCATATGGCGATCGTGTTGCTGTGTTTGGATACTGTCGTCGTCAAGAACAAGATCCCAGTAGTCGCAGGTCCAAACTTTTTGAGAGACTCAAAGGAAAGATGAAGAAGAACATAAAAGAACATGTGGATGCAAAACAGCAGCAAGGTCGAAGCAACAATAGAAAAGAAAGCAGAAAAATTGAGCTAGGTTGGCTAAATTATAGAGAGAAAGAGCAATCATTTGTACAGATACGTACAAAAAAGGGAGGTGGAACACGAAAGGAGAGTGTGCCCAAAACGAGCAAAAAGAAAGACTTAATAGAAAAGGCACTACAGCTGTTTTTCCCTGAGGGTGAAAATGCAGAAGGGAATATTTCCGATTTTGAAACTGATTTAACAGATTTTCAGGAACATACTTTGCCTGATGATGTTACAGTTGAAGACCTGTATGAAAGAACCAAATTGCCTGTACTGCGGTTTTACTTGAAAACCAAAAAGAAGCAGACCCAAACAGGCATGGATCTTGAGGACCAAAGCACAGGTTCTGAGATGATCATTCATGCCAATATGCAGCCACAACCAACAAATACCTCTGACGTAATCTATGTTGATAGCAGAGAGGAAAATGCTGGTGAACAAGAACAAACAGTTAATCTGATTGACTTGGAGGACAGTGGTATTGTCACTTTTCGCAATGATGGCTCTTTAGAAACTGAACACCAAGTTCATCTTGATGATACTTTACCCCTAAATGAGGATGAATCCTTGCCCTCTGTTCTGAACATTCCTGAAAGTGTGAAATTTATTGTTGCGGTGCATCGAGGCCAGGTTCTAAAAGAGCTAATTCAAGTGTTTGCTGATGAAGATGTCATTAATAAAGACATTCGCTTTAAAGTTATTCTACCAGATGGGAAACTAGAAAAAGCATTTGATGATGGTGGTGTTTTAAGGGATGTGTTGTCCGAATTTTGGAATGACTTCTATGAGCAGTGTACCATGGGGACTGACTTCAAAGTGCCATTCATACGCCATGACTTTCGTAACAAGGAATGGGAGAGTGTTGGTCGGATCCTTGCTTTTGGCTGGAAAAAAGAGAAGTACCTTCCTGTCAGACTTGCTCCTGTTATTCTTGAGCAAGCCATCCTTGGTGTCGTTCAGAGCGATCTGTTGAACACATTTTTAAAGTACTTGCCGCAGTCAGAGCGAGTGATGTTTCAGTCATGCTGTTCAGATTTTGCAAATGTCGATTTGGAGGAATTGGTGGAAGTTCTTGACATGCATAACTGCCGCAGGCAACCAACAGAAGACAACATACAACAAATATTACTCGAACTTGCTCACCAAAAACTAATTCAAGAGCCTGCTTTTATAATAGAGCAGTGGAAAAATGTACTTCACGGTATGAAGTCAGAGCTGAAGGGCATTTCAGCTGCCTATGATACCTTACTGCCAACCTCACGCAAAATAATAAATTCCCTGACTTACCCAACAGACCCAAAAGCCACAGAAAAACAAATTATGAAATATGTGAGTGCTTATCTTCGTGAATGTGATCCAGTGCGTCTGTCCAGTTTTCTCAGGTTTTGCACAGGGTCTGATGTGTTCACTGGAAAGAATATTACTGTGTCATTTACAGAGATCAAAGGCTTTCAGAGGAGACCTGTTGCCCATACCTGTGGTTGTTATTTAGAGCTGTCAGTTGCTTATGACAGTTACCCTGATTTTCGCTATGAAATGAACTGTGTATTGGAGAGCAATATCTGGGTTATGGACATTGCATAGTTTGTCTCCTATAACCCTAAAAACGGTCTGTTCTGTTTTGCAGTTATCACAAGATCGTAAGATGTTTCAACTATTTGATTGTGTTTTAATGTAATGTTGCTTTTTAAAAACTTCATTCTTTTACTTTTCATTATTTTGAATGTTGGTTCAGAAACAGTTCACTTGAAGCAGTACCTTTTGTAAGGGTGAAACAATTCAAATAAGCAGTTGGACTTGCTGTTAGCACATAACATTTTGAGAATTAGTCACCCACATTCTATTGTCCATTTGAATGTCACTTAACCAGATTTGTATTCATCCAGTTCACAAAGCTATCTTGTTAAGATATGGCTATGCAATTTCAAATAAACTGGAAAACTATGAATAAAACATAGTACTTCTGTTTGGATTTGCTCTCATCTGATTTAAGTGTTATTCTAAATTGTATATTTTCTACAAATTCAGATTCTATGTGCATAGAACAAAAGAATATACCATGAATGTACCACATTTAATTGTAGGTCAATGCTTAAGTACACTGCAAGTTTTACTGCTGTAACTCAGCATAGATGAGCTCTCTTAAACAAATATAGGTATCAAGTGTGTCATACACATCATTTGAGAAATTTAAATTATGCTCTGACATTAAGTCCACACAAATTTTGAAGACATCTTCATCACATGGGAAGTCTTTGAAGGAGCATTCTTCAAGGCAGAGTGACACTTTCTCCAGAGGTACAGGGTGTAAATAATCTCGACCCCCATACAGGTGAGGAACACTGTACAAAATGGAAGGACGTCCATGGGGGGATCTTGAATTATTCACTTGACGGACGCGGTGGTTATTCCATGTCAGAGCAATTTCATTAAGTTCATCCTAAAATAAACACAAGATTAGTACATTCAAATGTAAGTGCACACTGTTCTTCCCTGTGACCAATAGATAAAGAACAATTGTTGGGTAATTGTAGCGTTAATTCATATATCAAATATTAACATTAAATATATAAGTATTTGGTTCTTCTACACCAGGTTAGGATAGCGATGTTATTACATTGAAAAGTCAGCTGTTCCAGACGCAGGCAGTCAACCCAACCCTGGGCTGACAGCGTCTGGAAACAGCAGCTGAAGAGACACGTCCCGGTATTAACATGTCTGGTATAGAAGAACCAAATACTTTATTTCTACAAATAAGACAAGATTAACTTTCCTAAACTAACAAATGCCTACCTGTATTAATGCCATAAAACAGAATTGGATCAATGACTTATCCAAAAAGTTGTCTGAAAAGTGTCCATCTTCCCTAAGTTTGTCAAAAAGATCAATCCAAAACTGAACACACTCACTACGAAGGGTGAGCCACCAACGTTCAATTCGTTGGTTCCCTGTGCTTGGACCGAATGTTACGGGGTCTGTCACTTGGTTCGCGGGATAATGCAAAAAACTTTGAAATTCTGCGATATGGCCATTCTCCGTTCCCATGTCAAGCCTGACTCGGGCTGGACAACCACCTGCAGTGACCACTGCACCCATATAGTAGCCAGCAATAATTTTCGGGTCACTGTTTGTTTTGTAGGCTTCAAGCCATAGCATTTTTCTGGAAAATCCATCGATGCACCCGCTGATCGCAATTCCAAAAGGTTTTATTTTGTCATAGCCATCGATGTGCCAGACAAAATTTGGCCCGCGACTGTGGTACACCCGCCTCCGTAGTCGATTTCTTGAGCGGAGATCAACTCCTTCACTGTCCAGTAACCGCATTAAGATACGAACAGTCTCTCTATCAATCACAATGTTGTGCAGCCAGCATTTTTGGTGCATCCATCGATATCCATGGTACTGACCAGATGTTGCCAGTTGATTCTCAATAAATGTGGCCACTTCAGCCACATCCGTTTTATTTTTACGCCTCCACAGGCCGCTCTTGTTTAAAATCCGCTCAACAGTCCGTTTACTTAACTTGACTCCATTGGAATGTTCAAGTAGATTAAGTATTTCATTTGTTGTAAATCCATTTCCAAAGTACTTCCGAACCAACTCCTGAGCCATGTTTATCATTATAAACAGGATATACTTCTTCTTCTGCGATTGAACGCGTAATGCTGCCCCCTATCGATTAAAGGGGGCGACGTATGCGTAAAACTCACAATTTTGACTAGTAATTCGAAATGATGACTTTTAAAAACAATTTCTAAGTGTACTGACCTGAAATCACCAATATCTTCAACATAACCTGCCAACTTGCAGGCAAAGGATGTCCAGAGACATTCCAGACAAGCAATACATACACGGCAACAACTGCACATGCGCAGTTGAAAACTCGTAATTTTGACTTTTAAAGTCGAAATTTTGACTTTTAAAGTCGTAATTTTGACTTTTAAAGTCGAAATTTTGACTTTTAAAGTCGTAATTTTGACTTTTAAAGTCGAAATTTTGAGTTTTAAAGTCAAAATTTTGAGTTTTAAAGTCAAAATTTTGAGTTTTAAAGTCGAAATTTTGACTTTTAAACTCGTAATTTTGACTTTTAAAGTCGAAATTTTGACTTTTAAAGTCGAAATTTTGACTTTTAAAGTAAAAATTTTGACTTTTAAAGTCAAAATTTTGACTTTTAAAGTCGAAATTTTGAGTTTTAAAGTCGAAATTTTGACTTTTAAAGTCGAAATTTTGACTTTTAAAGTCAAAATTTTGACTTTCAGTAGGCTTTTTTTTTTTTTTACATGGCGGAAACGGGCTTCCATAGAAAACACTGTATATTCTAGTGCGACATATAGTTGTATGTACTGTATACTGTATATGTAAGTCTACTGTATAAGTTAGCACATCTGTGAATTTTTTTTATTGACTGATATTGTGAGTCAATGTGCATCAGTACCTCACTGAATACTGCTCTCGCACAACTGTGGACGTCTTGTTGTTGTTTGGAAAACTTTACTTTATAATTGTGTATTTATTCTGAAATCTTGTATTTTTAAAATCAATATTCTTTCCTCTTTCTGTATTTTGATAATCACCTCTCTGCTTTGCAGTGGGAGCAGGAGAGGGCAGCCAACAAACAAACTTGTTGGATTCCTGTAATTTTGCTCTGCCTCCCCCTCCCTGTCTGTTTTTCAGGGCTTGCATGTGACAAGGAGCGTGGCTGGTTGAGCTGCTGAACCACCTGAATCCTATTCACTCTTCACCCTAACCTAAAAACACTTGACCCTCGTAACCCTATATTTAAAACACTGGACCCTTGTCACCCTATCGTTAAAACACTGGACCCTCGTAACCCTATATTTAAAACACTGGACCCTTGTCACCCTATCGTTAAAACACTGGACCCTCGTAACCCTATATTTAAAACACTGGACCCTTGTCACCCTATCGTTAAAACACTGGACCCTCATCACCCGGTGTTTAAAACACTGGACCCTCGTAACCCTATATTTAAAACACTGGACCCTTGTCACCCTATCTTTAAAACACTAGACCCTCGTCACCCTGTATTTAAAACACTGGACCCTCATCACCCGGTGTTTAAAACACTGGACCCTCGTAACCCTATATTTAAAACACTATACCCTCGTCACCCTGTATTTAAAACACTGGACCCTCGTAACCCTATATTTAAAACACTGGACCCTTGTCACCCTATCGTTAAAACACTGGACCCTCGTAACCCTATATTTAAAACACTGGACCCTTGTCACCCTATCGTTAAAACACTGGACCCTCATCACCCGGTGTTTAAAACACTGGACCCTCGTAACCCTATATTTAAAACACTGGACCCTTGTCACCCTATCTTTAAAACACTAGACCCTCGTCACCCTGTATTTAAAACACTGGACCCTCATCACCCGGTGTTTAAAACACTAGACCCTCGTAACCCTATATTTAAAACACTGGACCCTTGTCAGCCAATCTTTAAATGGACCAGGATAGACCGGCGTGTGAGATCACATTCGCCCAAAGAGCCGGTAGAGTCCCACCTGAGTGAGCTTGGTCTTCCCTCCTCCGTCGATGAACTGACAGCGCAGGTCCACGGACTCGGTGGGATAGGCCTCCATCTCCTCGTCCACTCGCACCTTCTGAGCCATCGCACCTGAAGCACAAACAAGACACGCTTAAACACCTGCTCAGCTCAGAACCTTCACCGCAAAATGAAAACAGAGCGAGACGAGAACTTCAGAGTTTATCATCTTTTCTCCCACTGGGTTTGTAGAGTTTTAGGAGGGTCTAAGGACCGTGGTGATGATCCAGGACGTTCAACATTCAACAACATTTGTAGACGTTTAATTGACAATTGTCCCTTATGGACCAATGTCTTTATGTGTTTTTTTATCATTGTCTTTTCTATGTTTGAACTGTTTGATTCTCTGATCTGTTGTCGGCGAATCCACAGCTTTGTCAAGTCCTCCAAGACAAATGAAGCTTAAGCGTAAATTCAGACTGGGAGACCAAAGGCTCGTCATGCTGCCACCCCGGCTCGTCCCTCTACACACTGCTCATCATCACTTCATGGCTGCATTCAATCAGAGCCTCTCAGCTCACTGCAGCTCAAGCTGATGTTCGAGCAGCAACCCAACTCCTCCCCATCACTGCCCTTCAGTGGAGAATCATGTCATGTCTTCGGCTCAGCTTCATCGCCACCAGGGTCTAGGTCCCGGGGGGTCACAAGCTCAGCATATGTATTAAACTTCCTTCATACAGTTTTCCAGCCAGGGTCTAATCGCCAAAGTTTATCAATAAATAAAAAAGTACTCAATCGAAGTCTGCTGGTGTTTATATGTGCATCTTGACAACAAACATTTGAATGCAATTTTAGTTGAGTCTTTACAGATGGAACTACTGTTGTGATTGAGGGCTATCCTCTGTATCCCCTGTTTCTGTATTGTATCGGCAATTGTCTGGTCACTCTAAGGCAGGGGAGTCAAACTGGGTCCAGAAAGTGCCGGTGTGGGTCTAGGTTTTAATTTCAACTAAGCAGGAGCCCCCCAGACTCCTGTTCGACAGCCCTGGTCTAAGGACACACCCAGACCCTCTGCAGAGAGAGGACATGTGGACTTCTTGTATCTCATACTTTCGGTCATTACTCAAAGCTCATGACCAGAGGTGACGGAGGGATAGTCTGATGGAGAGGTTTGCCGTTCCACTCGGCTCCTTCGCCATCGCAATCCAACAAAAATCAATATTTAAACTACTGCTGTCTCTGTTTGCATTCACACAACTCTCACATAGAACATTCTCAGTGTTTCAGAATGTTTATCCTTCTGCAGCGATATGTCGTACTAGATCTTAGTGAAAGACCCAAACAGCAGCAGCAGCAGTACTTCAGTCTGATTGTCTCCGGTAATTAGACCTGTGAGTGTGTAGCATCAGGGAAACAGCAGCAGCAGCAGCAGCAGAAGCAGCAGCAGTTGTAGCAGTAGCAGCAGCAGCAGCAGAAGCAGCAGCAGCAGCAGCAGCAGCAGCAGAAGCAGCAGCAGCAGCAGAAGCAGCAGCAGCAGCAGAACTGATTTGATAAATGAATGAAAAGTGATGTTTGTTTAGAAACTCAGCTCTTTTCACATCCATTAAAGCTCAAGGTCACAGCAACGAGACGAGGAAGTCTGAACTTTACATCTGTCACTACTACTACTGCTGCTATTCTAACTATACTGCTACTGCTTTACTAGTACTACTACTGTTTTAACGATACTACTGCTGCTGCTATTAGTACTATTACCGCTTTACTAGTACTACTGTTTTAACTATACTATTACCATTACTGTTTTAACTATACTACTACTGCTGCTATTAGTACTATTACTGCTTTACTAGTACTACTGTTTTAACTATACTACTACTGCTACTACTGCTACTATTTTAACTATACTACTTCTGCTGCTATTAGTACTATTACTGCTTTACTACTTCTACTATTTTAACTATATACTACAACTACTATTTGAACTATACTACTACTACTGCTACAACTATTTGAACTATATACCACTACTACTACTAATTTAACTATACTATTACTGCAACTACTACTATTTCAACTATACTACTACTAATACTACTACTACTGTTGCTGTGGTGTACAGCTCGACTGAAATAGTGATGAACGTGCAGGTAAAAACCTAATCCTGTCAAAACACCTGAAGCTAAGTAGGGCAGTGCTTAGTTAGTCCTGTGATGGGAGACTTCTTGGAACATATGTGTGTCATTATCCAAACCGCTGAATTATTATCAATATTAAAATAAATGTGTTTTTTTAATTACAAATTGCAGGATTGGAGGAATGCTATTTCAAAGCTCATATGGTTTAACAGCCCCGGTATTTTAAATGTGTATTTCCTTTTTTTATCACACTTTCTCTTTCTCTGTATCTCTCTCTTCCTGTCTCTCTCTCCGTATCTCCGTCTCTCTCACACACACACAAACACACACACATCTACACACACTACACAAACCAATACACTGCAACCTTCTCTCCACCTCTGGCTGCTCCCAGTTCAAAAGCTCAGCAGGCTCCAACCAAAAACTCACACAACGATTCCCAAAAAATAATGCAACACAAAAACTACTCTTTCCCTTTCAACTCCTCTCTCCATCTCTCTCTCCCTCTGATCTCTCTCTCTTTCTCTCTGGCTTGTATGCAGAGCCCGCAGGACCCACCGGTGAATATGCATTATGAGAAACGCTTCAGAAACGTGCTTTTAACTGTGTCTCCACGAGGCGCCGTGTGAAGAATGGATCATTAAGAGCTTCTCGGTTGAAGGCTGCTGCCCGTTCGCCGCACAAAGAGGTTATTAAAATCATATAAATGCATAAAATACTCGCTTGTCTCGGTAACGAATGATGCCTTAATGAAGTTCACAGTTTGTAACAATCTCCAGCCGTTGCATCCGAGTCGTCCGCTGAAATTTTGAACACTGAAAATGATTTTTCAAAGCGCAGCATTCTTCTCATTCAAGGCTTTAATGTTTTTGCGTCAAAATATTAATTACTTGATCTATCCACGTGAATTAAGGCTGCCACAGAGATGAATGGCTGCACAAATGGGGAATTTTCCCATTTCATTCCTAAAGACAGCCTCCCACCAGGGGGCGGATATGTGATCAAATGGTTCCATTGTATGCGATTTGTTTCACTTAACACAAGGAAACAGTGTGTTGGTATGGTAATTAGCACCTGCCAAGACCTACTTCACAACTGCCACTGATGTTTGCTCTCGTTGTGTCCTTGGGCAAGAAACTTCACCCCACTTTGCCTGGAGTCCCTGCTGAAATATCCTCCTGTGGACATCCTCCTGTGGACTCTGCAGGAGGATCAGTGAGGGGCTGGTGCTCTGTGAACTAGGTAAATCTCTGACTGCCAGCCATGACCCAGAAATGGATTAAGGGGAAGAATTCTAAGTGAATAAATACACCTATAAAAAACCAGTGGTCCTACACTGGTTGTACACAGGATTTCCACTAGAGAAGAGCAGGTGCTAGTTACCATACCAACACACTGTTTTAGCACTTATAAACAACATTACCTTTGATACCGGTGGAAAACCTTTTTGGCATTTTTTCAGAGTCCTATTGATTTGAATGAGAGCCGTCAAAATGACTGGAGTCCAAGTGTTAAGTGAAACAAATCGCATACTATGGAACCATTTCATCACATATCCGCCCCCTGGTGGGAGGCTGTCTTTAGGAATAAAATGAGAAAAAAATGACATGGATTGCTTCTTCAAACTTGACACATAAATCCCATTGTTGCAGTAAAACGTCATTTTTGTGGGTATAAAGATTCCCCATTTGTGCAGCCATTCATCTCTGTGGCAGCCTTAATTCATGGGGACAGATTAAGTAATTCATATTTTAACATTTTACGCGAAAAAATTAAAACCCTTGAATGAGAAGAATACCTTTGAAAAATCAGTCATTTCAGTGGGCGACTCGGACGCAACGGCTGGAGATCGTTGTGAATTTCCTTTTGCCATTTTTCTACAACTTCATTAAGGCATTATTTGTTACCGAGACAAGCAAGTATTTTATGCATTTATATGATTGGCTTGAACCCACGAACTTCAAGCTCAAAGGCCAACGCTCTACCAACAGAGCCACTGTCGACCAAAAGTAAAAAATAACATAGAAATAGACTACAAGTAGAAACAGAAAAAGTCACAAAGGAAAGAAAACCAAAAATGTATATTCTTTGAGACATTACACATACATTTTTTGGCCAGATTAAACACAGAAGTAGAAATGGTTCAATCCAGTCAAATAGACCGTTGTGTCTTTCACGATTGAATTAAATCAGACAAAGCAAGATATAGTCTGCTCACTCACAGATACTTAGACATGACCCCAACACCTCTCTGATCCCTCCACGACACCAGGACTAAAGTCTTGTATGAAATAAATGAATCCGGCTCCAATAGAAAAGCTGTAAGGTTTGGATGAACAGAGCAGCCTGGTAATGTCTGAACTGTGATATTAAACGACATATATACACATGGATCCATTCTCCGCCTCGCAGACCAAGAATCACATTGTGTTTCTCAGTTTAATTAATGGATGCATCTCTCCGGAGTCGTCTCCATCTCAGCCGTAACGTTTCGGCTCCTCCACAACTGGCAGAATTATGTTCATCCTACACATTTTCATTTCCTGTGGGACCATGTTAACGATAAAACAAACTGCATTCTTGTGTGCGGTGACTTTGGCGTTAGAATCACACGCACAACAAAACCAGATTAGCTCTCCGTGCTTGATTATTGATTATGATGATGCAATATTCTGTTTAGGCCTCGTGATCTTGGAAAATAGCAACTGTGGAATTTCATGTGGCAGGAAAAGGGTTAAGGACATGGATAGTTTTGTGAAATAGGTAAAGATTCGGTTTGAGTAACTGAAAAAGACAAAAACCTGGAGTAGTGTCTTCTCAGCAACAAGGTCCTGGCTTCGAACAGGGTCATTCTGAGTGGAGTTTGCATGTTCTCCCTGTGCCTGCATAGGTTTTCCTCCAGGTGCTCTGGTTTCTCCTACCACTCCTGACAGACGCCCAAGTGGCATGTGCACGATGGATAAAAAGCAGAGGATGAATTTCCCAACAAGAA